GGATATAGTTTTAGAAGCTAAGTTACATTAAATACAAAATTAATACATCTTTGAAAAAGAGATACTATCTTTTCTTACCTAGCAGTAAAAAAGAAGAGTGTATCATAGCAGGTGTATCATCCAGAAAATGCTACAAACTTGAACCAATGAAGGAGAGAAATGTACAAATAAGAACTATGTTTTATAACTGAAATATGTTAAAGTGCAGTATTTTCAGTATGAAATAGATTTTCAGGCTATTATCTCATAATTTTTTTTATGTTTAAAATTAGAAACGAACTCTGAGCTTTAATCTTTTGACTTTAAGTTTACACCTGTATTAGTATGAAAAATACATTAGTTACTTTCTATGAGGGTTTTCTTGAAAATAAGCCTTCTGGCTGTGCTGGCACTTCATATACCCAGGTGGGGTTTACATGCACACACACGCGCATACACATTGCTCAGTATTCATCTGTAGCTGCCTGTTTATTTTTGCCTGACCCAGTATTCACCAAATAGTATCATCTTAATATCCATTAAAAATTGAAGGATTTGCATTACATAGAAAGCAGTGTACTAGAGGATAAGTTTCCAGTGTTGTCTATTTGTACTTTAGGAGTTTGCACTTTTGCCTCTATGGATGCCACATGAATCTCAATGAAAAACTACCAATTTGTTTTCTTGAGTAGGAATTCAAATTGCTACCATCCAAAACTTCTAAATATTTGTTGTTGTTCCTTCTCTTGGAAAACATCTTTTGCCCCATCACGGTAGACTCATGACTACGGGGAATCAATATCTGGCTTCGAGGGATTCTGGCTTTTTACTAAATGGAATTGTGACTTTAAAACAATGGAAAGACTGAACTTGGCTATTTAAGGTTGCTGTTAGTAACACAATCTAAATTTTATACTCTTGTCTTCTCTGTATGGAATGAGCTATACTTTACGGTCTAGAATTTAAACTAAATTCTTTAATATCTCTCTAGTTTCAACTTATTCTTTTTGAGGAGGCTTTTTAAAGAAGGTAGCTATAAATTTGACAGTAAAACTTTAATCCACAGACCTTATAAACAGCTAGATCATGTGTATTTTATGTAGCTTTAGATTTATTATGTGACCCAATGGTACAGTAATGTACTTATGATACATAGGCTTGAGTATTCAAAAACAAGAATAGTGCTAATAAACATACTTCTGGAATATTTTCTCAAAATTCATTTTATCTTTATTATTTTTCTAGTTTTATGTTCGTTTCATGCATTGTTTGTAAGAAAAATATTGCATCATCAATAAATAAGTTTACTATGGAGCAATATATATCAGTGAAATTTAAGATTATTAATTTTTAATTGTGAATGTACCCGATAAAGATTTTATTCTATCATGAAACTATTTGATCTGTGTACTGTAAAACCACTGTGTACTATAATACACAGTATATATTATATTGGGTACTAGAAATATACTAATTTGGTAACTATTGTATATTATGCCATAAGCCTTCTGAAGCAATTTTGAGACATTTTAGTAGCTGCTATAAATAGTGCAACACATTTTCTTGTGTTATTTTGTACATCTGTAACAATAATCAAATGTGGTGAATGAAAAGAATTGGTATATGAAAAGACATATCTCACGTTACTTGTTCATGGACTAGTTCATTTGTTGCATGGGCAGATGTTGGTGTCTTCTGTGATTTGGTATTTGGACAAAGTGTGCCCCTTGGCTCAAAGATCATTTGATTAATAAATCAGTGAAAATTTTGGCATTTTTACAGATGGGAAATATAAGGATAAGACAACTTTTGAAAAGCTTAATTTTGTTTGGTACTTGTAAAATTTATCTTGGACACGGAATTTCTCTATCCATTACTTACAAGCATTCCACTACTGCTTTTCCTCAGTGAGATTGCCTCCCAGAACCTTCCTATTCACTGCATGCCTGGGCTCTGTGCTGCATTTTCCACAGGTCATGCCATCCCCACCCAGATGGTGCTGTGGGAATCTTTTTTGGCAAAAGTGTTTATTCACCTGACTCTGTATTACTAGCTTACTACTGAAAAATGTTATTAGCTTTAGTGATTTTCATATTATTTTGTCCTAAGTTGCAAAATGAGAAAGAATGATTTAGGATGGAAAATAATATTTTTGAGTGCTAATGCACAGAGGTTCACTGCTAAGATTTTGCCAGTAGTCTCAGAGGAGCCTTGGACTAGGACTTTCAAAAAATGTTGGTGCTCTTGAGACTTCCAGGAGGGAATTATTGTATTTCTGCTTGTATACAGGTTAGTTGTATTAGGTGGGTAGAATTATGAACTTGCTATTGTCTTTATTTGTTGAATAAATATAGTTTAAGAAGATGTTTGGGTGTGAAGTTGATAAGGAATGTTTTATGACCATTAATCCTGATGTGTCGACTTCATTGGAGTAAGAAATGCCTAGGGGTGGGGTGGGAGGGCAAAGGAGAAAAAAGGAGAGAAATGCCTAGTAGATTAATAAAGTACACTCGTGTGTCTGGGTGGTTGTTGATGTGATCTTGGGCACTGTCTATACATGGTCCTTAGCCCATTGCTGTCTGGCACTTTTGCCCTGCTGTGCTTCCCAGCGACCATGACATCAGCAGCTTTGCTCCACCATGGCCTTCTACCACGATGTCTTTGCCTTGGAGCCAGCTGATTATGGGATGGAACTGAGCAAAGTAAACCTCTCCTTCTGTAAATTGTGGGCATTGCTAATTTTACCCTTGATTTGCTTCTCCTCCCTTACTTCTTTCATTTGTCTGATTGCTTCTTCCCATTTCGCAGTCTTTATCATATGTCTCCAACCACACAGCCCTTCATAGTGTCTCCTATCTTGCAGTGTAAATACTAACCCTTATTGCTTCATTTCTTCTTTCAGATGTCACATCCTTATCCAGAATTTCTTAGACCTGTTTAAAATTATTGTCCCACTCTCTGAAGCACTGTCCATTTTCCTTCTGTATTTTTCTTAATAGCATAATACAGCACATATTTTATCCTCTTTGTTGTTGTTTGTTCCCCACTAGAATAAAAACTACCTAATAGCAGGGGATTAGGGACTACATCTTTTTTGTTCACTGCTATATTTCCAGCATCTGAAACAAGACTAAAAATGGCACAGCAGAGACCTGGGATGAAATGATATAATGAATGAAATTTTATGAGGGATGATTGAGAAGTAGTCCTTTTGTGATTTTCTTTAGGAGTTTCATCTTTTCTTATTAATAAGCCATAACTTTTTATAAAAATATTGTTTTTATTTTATGTTGTAAATATTTTCTTTACTTGTTGCCGAAGTTTTTGCTGTGCAGCTTTAAATGAATTTAGTTCTCTCTTCTGGATATCCACTTTTCTACCATGCCAAAAAAAAGAAAAGCCATTCTAGACGGGGATTTAGCTCATTGGTTCCACCACCTGCCTCAAAAACATAAGGACTTGAGTTCGATCCGTGGTACCAAAAAAAAAAAAAAAAGCCTTTCTCCATTCAAGAAATATTTAAAATTTCACTCATATTTTCTTCTAGTACATTTATGATTTTATTCATCACTTTAAAAAATACCTGACACAATGTGATATTTGTATTATTGAAAAGGAGTAGTTAATAAACTCAACTTTATTTTTTCTAGAACATCTAGACCATTTAGTAAATCTTGCACTCTTTTCAGACCAACTTGAAATGCCATTCTTTTCTACACTGAATTTTTGTATATATTATGTAATGAAGAAACCTATTCTTACTCTCTTTTATTCATCTATAAGGGTATATATTTTCATGCTATTATTTTAATTTCTGTGGCTAAATCACACATTTGAATATTTTTAGCTTAGCCTAACTTTTAAAAATGGATTTTCTATACTTAATGTATTTTCACAACTGATAGCAAACATTATAAACCCCTTTTCATTAACATTGTGTTAATAGGTGATGCCTGTATCTTGAATATTGTAATTCTGTTAAACTATGATAATGTGTAAGTTGATACATTTTGAATAAAGTTAATGCCCTTTAAATTATTTCCTGAATTATTATATCACAGGTATACTACAATCCTATCAGCTAAGTGATGGTTTTATTGTAATATAAAACCAGAGTTTAATTTTCTTGCATTTATGAGCTTTATTGGTAGAATAAAGCCATCCATGGTAGAATAAGGTTTTTTTCACTAATTTGTGCCAAATGTATTTATTCTGATTATAATAGAAAACAGGTCGAGTGACCATGCTTTTTCTATGCTGATGTTAATTTTGTTTCGAATGTTAGATCAAGCTGGTGGCTTGCCCTTGTTACCTGTTTAAATATTTCATCTGTCATGTACCATACAGCTTACTGGTGCCTGCTCCATCTGTGCTGTGTGACTGAAAAGTTGCTGAAACTGTTGAAATCATAGTTTTTTCCATCTATAATCGTGACAACAGTAATATTTTATTCATCAGATTACTATTGTAATTAAATTTAATAATTGTTGTGAAGTGTTAAGTATGGCATATGAAACAAATTAAATATGTGATGAATGTTGCTTAGGGTTAATCATAGCATGAAGGAAGGCTGGAATATAGTTAAGGGAAAAGTTTAACCTAGTACTAACAATTATTTGAAATTCCACATCCAAGGGAGCTGTGTCCTTGTTTGGAAATTTGGTGCCAACAGAATCCAAGCCTGGCCAGTGCTAGAGGAAGGTTAGTCTCAGCATCTCTAATTTCAGTTAGGTGCAGAGAAATTTCAGTGTATATTTAAATTAACAGTTTGAGATAGTAAGAGCAGTTTCCTTTGCTCTTTATCAAATTTTTAATTAATACGAGAGTTTGACAATATAGCAATTTTTCTCCTTTGAGTAAACTATATGTGTGTAGAATTGTATGGTGAAATAAAGAAGCCAGTAGAAACGAGATACTTTCCCTCTCCTGCTTTTCACTTTCCCTCCATGAAGCCACAGTCCATTTTTGAAATGCTGAGTTGATTCTCATTTCTTCTGACTCACATTGTCTTTTTTCTGCAGACTCACTCTGAAGAGAGACCATTCCAGTGTGATGAGTGTAAAGCTTTGTTCCGGACCCCATTTTCTTTGCAGAGACACCTGCTAATACATAATAGTAAGTCCCCATTCAGGCAGTCAAGAACAGAAACAATCGTCTCATCCTTGTTGTTAGATATTTTGAGGATGTAGGTGCCGGGAAGTAAACCTGTAAATGACGAGGTAATCTGCTGTCAAACATCAGAAGGACTAGTAATTCTGCCTTTCACCTTCCCTTCCTTCATTCTTGCTTTATTTTCCATGGTAACATGAGTTGTTTTGTGACATTTTAAGTATCTTTTCTTCCCAATATTTATAGTTTGTATTTAAAATCCCTAGATTCACAAGGTTCTCTTTGAATTTTGTTTTGAAACATTTTTTTTGTTCCCTTTTAAAGATGATGATTAAGAAAACATGTCTGCCTCTTTAAAACACAGAGCTATCTGGGCACAATTTTATAATTCACAGTCTTTTAAAATTGGAGGTCGGAGTGCACATCTAATTTGATTCCTTAATTTGGTGGGTGTTGAGAATGTTGAAACTCAGGCACCGTGGGATATGGGGATTAGTCAATGATAGGTGCCTTTCTCTGCGTTATGCTGCCTCTTGATGTCTTATTTTAGCAGGAAAATGTTTTATTAAGTTCTACACAAACACATCATGAAAATCCGGGGCTTGCGCTAGTTTTAGACTATCATAGGATTGTTAGCCACATCACTGAAGTATGTGCTTTTTGAAAAGAAACTGTTATTTCAAAGGTGAAGTTCAAAGTGTTTTCTCTGTTCAGATGTCCAGATAACCAGATATACCATTGTTCAAATATTGAAAGAATTGTATACCCTGATTAATATTTTTGTTTCTTATTTTAGAGATATTTAATAGGTAGAAAATTCTCTGTACATGTGAAGTTACTGTGCTGTTAAATATTAAATTTCTGAGGCAGGTAAGATGACCAATCTGGAAAACTGGTTGCACAGGACAGTATTTTGGAAGAAATTTTCTCTGGTAAAGTTGAAGTGTCTAAAAATGAAATATAATAAAGATATTAAGGTTTTTATAAATACTGAGTGGTAATGATTATGATGAAATACAGTCTGCTTCCTGTAGGAAAAGATCGTGTTATGCTCTTGGGCCATTCTGTGACAGTTCTGGAAAAGTTGTTAGCACAACTTTCCATTTTCCTTATACAGAACAACTGTGCATTTAAGAAAAAAATTGTTGCACAACAGCAGAAATTTCCATCCTGTTTCACTTACCATTTTGTTTAAGAAAAGTAACTGTATTGACATAAATGGAATTTAGAATAAAGATTTAGACAAGTGAACCATATTCACCCTGTTAAAATTTTCATGGCTAAATTTGGCCTGATGCACAGGAAACTTTTTCTTTTGGAAAAATGAAATTTTATTTCTTGTAAGAGGAAGAAATTTACAAAGATCTAATAATTTTGATTTCCGCTTATTGGTCCTCATCAACTTGAGAAATAGGATTGAAGCGGCTTCCTGTGGACTGTGCTGTGTGTTATGTTTTTATTATTTTGTTCATCAGCATAACAGTCAGGGGCTTTATGAAGCTGCATCATGATACTTGACCAAGAAAATCAATCTTCATAATTGAGTCCAATCTTCATAATTGAGTAGGCAAAGGAGTTATTGATAGTAAAAGTTAGACACCATTGAAGACCAGTGAGTTAAAAGGACAGGAAAACAAGTAACAGCTGAAATAAAAAGGACAAAAATACTAGTTCTTATCTCACACAATATGAAAAGCAAAACCTGTTTAACTGTCAATAGATGAAGGCTATTGCTGGAAACTTACATCTGTAATGTAGCTCAAAATACAAATAAATTGTAACAATTACTTTAGAAATTATTTTCTAATACAGTTATTTTCCATTATTAAATTATTTTCTAATGCATTAAGATCCAAAAGGCAGGTTGCTGGCTAGCTTCTTAGCACCTTAACTTAGCTTGATAGAGTTTTTGTACAGGGACCAATATTTTGATAGGTCAATGAAAATTCTTTGATAGGAGCAATCTTGAAGGATTTAAGAAAATATTTGTGGTACCTGAATAGATTTAATATTGTTAACATTAATGCTTAAAAATCTCTCATCAATTGCTATTTCTTTATATTCTGATTGATGATACAGTGTATATGAAGATATACTCAAATAAATCTAAAAAATGTATAAAGACAAAATAGTTTACAAGAATAATACCGGGCAATAAAGTTCATGAAGGTAACAAACCTGGCTGTCAGCATCTACACAGTTAAGTTCATTCTTGGTAGGGATGTGGCTTTGTTTCATTCATCAAATGTCATCAAGGTTTTACAAAAATTTAGAGAACAGAATTCTGTTTGAAAAGACAAAAGGAAGTAATTTTCTTTTCCTTGTTTCTTTTTTGTTTTTGTTGCTCTCTTTATCTCTTCTTTTTCTCAAATTTAGAGAAATTGGAAGATTTTCCCTCTTACAAATTTAGTGCTAGTTATTATGGAAATTAGAAGGGCTTGGTTGAAACTGGTTGAAAATGAGGTTAATTCATCTTCAACTTCATAGGTAAAAAACATTTAGTATTTGTATATTGTACACTGAAGTCAATATGCTATATTAGGGAAACATTCAAACACTGATCTATCTTATTTATGTAATCATGTGCTATTATAATATCCTATTATAAAATGCTATCTTCTAATTATTTACATTCATTGCTGAAATTGTATTTACAGTGGCGCTTTAAATTAGGTGTGTGTGTTGAGAAGAGCTAGAAAGAGAGCATTGTGTAAAAATGAAAAAGTACCCTAAGATCTCTAACTGTGCTTTCTAGTGATGCTTTCTCCTCAGGTCTAGGCCCTACAGAGTAAAAAGAAGGTGAAAACCCTCATAGTGTTCAGGGGCTCTGGCATAGAGGTAGTAACTGCCAGTTTTCATTCCCCTGTCCCAAACTGCCTCTCTGAGGGCCTGGAAGGCTGCTTCACAGAAGCCCAAGGGTTGGGTCAGGGATATCTCCAGTCCTTGCTCTGAGATCATACTGAGTAAGGACAGAGTGTTGCATGCCTCTGCCTCATCCTCTCCAGAATGAGAGTGGTATAGTGATTTGTATCTGTCTGCCCCCAGCTACTTTTCTAGCTGTTATATACAAACATTCTGCCTTTGTCCATTTCCAGAAGTTCAGAGGGACCATGTTGGGACTTGAGGGGAGTTTGGGAGGACCCCTAAAGGCAAATCACCTTGTATGACAGAGACAGAGGCTTTCTGTTATGGCAAACTTACCTCTAGCCCTGGCTCCTACCTGGAAAGGCATACCTTAAAACATGTTCATGGTACCTGTAGAAAATCGTCTGATTCAACTCCCACATTTTCCAGTTGGGGTGACTAAGAATATAGGAAAGTTAAAAGACCTTTCCCTGCTCACACACCAAATTAGCAAATGTGGAACTGGAATTTGTCCCAAGGAAAAAAACGTGTGATTGTAAGTTAGAATTATAAAAATATTGATGAGGAATTATAGGTCCCTACTGCTGCATCTTATGTTTCTCCAATTTTACATTTTTTTCCTAAGGTGAGAGGACTTTCAAGTGTCATCACTGCGATGCTACCTTTAAAAGGAAAGATACATTAAATGTTCATGTCCAGGTAGTCCATGAAAGACACAAGAAGTACAGGTGTGAACTATGTAATAAGGCATTTGTTACGCCATCTGTGCTCAGAAGTCATAAGAAAGTAAGTAGAAGCCTGTGGGTTATAGGCTTAAGGAGTATGGATGGATATATATGTTAACTATCATGATGATATCATATTAACTTACTAACATATCTACTCAAAATGATACATGCATAATTTATATCAGCTATTGTGATTAGAGGTTCCATTTGACCCAGCCATTCCTCTGCCAGGTATCTTTCCGAAAGAATTAAAAGAATCATATCACAGTGATATATGTGTACCTATGTTTATAGCGGCACAGTTTGTAATAGCTAAAACTTGGAAACAGCCCATTTGCCCATCAGTTGGAGACTGGATAAAGAAGATGTGGTTTTTCTATAAAATGGAATACTACTCAGCCACAAAGAATGAGAAATTAGAGTCATTCATAGGAAAATGGATACATATTGAGGATATACTCCTAAGTGAAATAAATAAGTCACACATGTGTAAATACTGAATAGTTTCTCTGGTGTGAAAAGTTATAATGATACATAAGATCCTAATGGTATAATTGACAATGTGAAATAGGAAGAAAAGGGCTAAAGGTGTAGGGAAAGTGGGAAGGGTAGGGGAAAGGAAATAAGGGAAAAGAAAAATATGAGAAAATGAAAAAATGGAAATAAAGTATTTGTAAACTGGGAAAGGAGGAGGAGATGAAGGGAGGGCAGGGACAAAGGGAAAAAATGAGAACCAAGACCTGTCATGTAAAGGTACAAGATCCCAATGATTACTGTATACCTAAAATGTACCAATAAACTCAATGAGAGAGAAAAAAATTGTATCACCTCTTCAGAAAATACCCATTTTCTTCATTTTTCAAAAAGTTGTATTTTTTTCTATGATAGACAGCCTCAGAGGTTGATGTAGATTACCCAGTAATCCTTAACTATACCTATAGGTGAAGTATACAGAATTCTCTGTAGGTAGAAGCTTACCAATTTTTAAATTTTTGGATTATGTAATTTTTTAATTTTAAAAATATGATTAACTTTTAGCTTACTTAGGTAATTTTCATAACTTATTTAGATGTTTCCTGGGAAGTTATTAGACTGAGCCCTTCTATAATGTTTCTTCTCTTTGCATCTCTAGGCCACAGATGAGGCCTGCATAAATATTTGCTAGATTTACATAAAGTGGTATTGTTACCTATAGTGATTGGGAGATTTTTACATTATTCTAATTAAATAAATGCCTTAAACAAATCAGTTTTTTTCTTTGTTGGTTGAACTAATGCATTTAAGAATATTTTTCAGTTATATAATCAGTACTGTAACAAGTGCAGTTAATTTAAAATTGACTTTGGAAATGACTATGAAGTGTGCTAGTTTTCCACCAGTACCAGTTAGCAGGTGTTAATGAGCATGAAGAAATGACTCCCCCTTCAGCATGATTTGGGACCTGTGTTTAATATAATTGTTTTAAAAAGACTAAATTGAGCAACTTTTTTCTTGCATCTTAAATGCTCAAGAGTATTATCTGCCTTTTAAAATCTCTGAATAGAATAATAGTCTTTCAAATTGTGCTTTGATTGCTTTTTGTGCGCATTTAGCAAATGTTTTTGTTTTTTCTGTACATGAAGAGAGATAGTTTTCAAGAGAATTTTGTCTGCACCAGTAGATTCTCATAGATTATATATTGCAGTTCACTGTCCATTTTTATTGCATACATTTATCCTATTTTGTTCTCATGGTGAATTGTTTTCATGCTCTTATCCATATTTAAGGTGGCTTAGTAATGTACTTTCGGTATTATAAAACACTAACCGAATTCTATACCTAATAGTAAGATGTATTTTTGAGTAAAAACAAATATTTAATTATTTTTATAAATAGTTCTACTTCTACTGACATATACTTTAGGTATTTTACATGAAGAATGAAATATTTACATAGCAAGATATTTATATAGAAATTTACACAAATACATAGAAATCTTGTAAATTTTATAAAGATATAATGAATAAATTGTTAGTTACCTGTTTGGAATAACCCATGCTGTGATGATAGATATATAAAGTTTCTAAGTGATCTTACACTAATCAAGAAAAAAATTACAATATTTTACTGCTTTAGGCATGAGAAAACAAGTCTGTTATAGGTTAAAGAGTTAATTCTTTTACTTTAAATTGAACCTTAGTGTGGACTAAAGGAGAAAAGTTTCTTGTTAAAGTGTAAAAATGTATAACTCTTTTGTAGAAGAGCTTGTAGTAAAGATGGAAAGTTAAGCTCCTGCCAAGTGCACAATCATGGAGATTCCTGAGTGTGGCACTTAATTAGATTATGTTTCTCCAACTTGAGTTTAGCAGAAATCCTTTCAAGGGAAAAATGTTCTAAAGGACTAAACTATGTGGTATTGACCAAGCTATTTAGTTTATGTATCTTATAAAAGTGACAAAGACATTTGCACACATACAAAAATAGATTATAATACAAATATTCAAACTTGCAAATTAAATACCAGTAAGCTATGAAAGTAATATGTTAAAGTTAACAGTTAATTGACTGTGGGAGATGAAAACGTACTATTATGGTTCTGTGACTTTACCAGGTGGTGTGGTAACAGCCCATCCCTTTTCTCTATCGTAGCCAATTTTTCCTTCTGAAAATAACCCATTATAAACAAACTTTTCCTATTTTTCTTTTCTTTCTTTCTTTCTTTCTTTTTTTTTTTTTTTTTTTTTTTTTTTTTTTTTTTTTTTTTTTTTTTTTTGGTGTATGGGATTGAGCTCATGGAGTCAGGCATGGTTGCCACTGAGCTAAGTCCCCCCACCCCGCCCATGTTTCCAATTTTCATTAGTGCATGACAATTCAAATGACAATAACTGCAAATAATTTGCATAAGAACCATTTGAGACACAGGCCCTGGGAGCTTTGTTTGGGAGTAACCCAAATGATCCACTATCTGCTTTTATTAATGAGTGAGTTATCACTGGAAACCAATTTCCAAAGCATTTTCTAGAACCTCCAGATACCTGAAGGAATTCACTGCCTTGTCTTTTTTTTTTAACCTCTTGAGTTTGAGAAACAGTGAGGCTTGACCATTACCTTTGATCCCTCATTTATTGGAATGATCTGTTTTGATGCCATTAGAAAAACTGGTGTCCTAACAAGACTATCTAAAACACTCCATCTGTACCTTCTTTCTGGAGCAGACACTTTTTATACTTTTCAGCATTTATTGAAGCTCAAGTTTAATAATGCTCTTCACCTTTCCCAGAATGATTGTTTCATGCCTCAGTTAAAGGTATGTTGAGGGTAGAACTGCTTCTTTACATTAACTTTTCAGTTAACACTTGCTGATTTTAAAGATCAAATTAGATTCATGTTCCTTTCTGCCTTGCACTAAAATCAGTCCAGACAAGTATAGTGTAAGTAACAGATGACTTTATTGAGATTAATTCTGTCCTCAAGAATTAAATACACACAAAGAATGTGAAAAATGCTTTAAAGGAAGTGTTTCTTGGCAGCAGTTAGGGGCAGCTGTAGCCCCATTTTGATTATGTGGTTTTGTTTCCATATACTGGTTTTGTATAATGTAATCACTTTTAGATGGAGGCTCCATAAAGGCTTAAAATGTAAACTGCAGAATTATTTTCAAATTAACACTAATGCACACTTCTATGGGTTTTTTGAACCCTTGGGAATATCCATGATAAATTGTTTAAAATCTCATTGCGATATTAAAACATTTTAATGAAACATAATCCTGGAAAATAAGGATTTACTATTGTCAGAGGCACTTAATCATCTTTACCCAATTCCTTATGTTTGTCCTCAACTTTTTTTATTCCTTTCCTTTAGACACATACGGGAGAAAAGGAGAAAGTCTGCCCATACTGTGGCCAGAAATTTGCCAGCAGTGGGACGCTGCGAGTTCACATCCGGAGCCACACAGGTATGGAAAAATGACCAAGGGTGAAAACGACCGAGAGAGCTTGTGCCAAAATGGGATGGTGTGGTATACTGAAGTTAATCCAAGGTTAAGAATTAATCTTCCTTATAGTGATGTAAATTTCAATTCCTCACTCTACACGAATTTTGGATAACTTTATTTTCCCAAATTAAGTAAAGCACCTGAAATAGTACTTTCTTCAATGGTTGCTTTTGGTATAACTGACTTATACAGGAGTCTAACAGATGAAACGGAATAATAGTTTTACTCTCTACAGAAGGGTGCAGGCCTCCTCTTACAATCTCTTCTGTAACCCATCTTAAACATGGCCTTTTACAATTTGGAGTCTTTGGAGTGCAACTTGAATGTTGAAGGATCTTATTGCATGGGAATGTGACGTGACATAGTACCTGTTAGGCTGTGGAGTGCTTCGTAAGGGTCCCCTTTTTTTCTTAGTTCTGTACCATTTGCCCAGTGAAGGAGGGTGTGCCTTTGCAATGGTGAACTGAGCACTCTTAGAAGAACCTTGTTTGGATTTTATCTGTCATGTACATAAGCACTTCAAAAAGACCTGAAGTAATATTCTTAATTTTGATATCTAGATGATTTTACAATAGTCTGAAAATTTTTTCAGTAGCTAGACTGTATTTTTATGGATATTATGCAATCAGTTACATAGCTGAAGCGTCCTACTCAAGGGCCATAGTGTTTGACTTTAACCCTTGTCTCCCCACCTTGCATAGTGTGTAGCACAGTAACTGTGCTGTAACTGCTATAAATGAAGAAATGTTAGTTTAAGCACGCCAGAGAATCTCTACTAGGGCTACTACACATGGGTGAAGTAAAGGACAAGAGTAGAATGTAATGTTCGAATTAGTGTCTGTTGTAGCCACTTAAATACTTAATAGCCACTTAAATACTTTTCAATGGCACACATGACCAATAAAAGATCAAACTTTTTCCATGGTGTCTGTCAACGAGGTGCTCTAGAGAAGGAAAGGAAGGTCTTCTTGCATAGAGAAAGCAAGGCATTTGGACAAGGTCCAGTTGTGTTGCATCAGTAGATAGCAACAACAGGAAAGGAGAGAGGCCAAAGGAAAGGTGCTACAGAGAGCCATGTTGGGGACGTGTGTACTTAACATTGGGCACATGGCTTGCACACCATGTGTGGATTGTTCAGTAGAAGAAGGAACAGAGAGTTTTGATGTCTGAAGCCAGCCCCTGCAGTCTGGTGGGTTAGCCTGTTAGCCTCTTATGTCCTTAGGCATCCCTCTCTCCTGTGTGTGTGTGTGTGTGTGTGTGTGTGGCTAATTGGATTTGGGGTCAACAGCCTTCCTTTCTGTATTAGTAATCTTTGGTCGATGTCTTTATGCCACATTGAATATATAACTTACTGTGCGCTTAGTGGCCTTCATGTGTGCATGTCTGTACTCATGCCTATCATTTGTGTATAGGAGAGGGAGAGTAGGGAACAGGGAAAGAATAGTTCATCTTCATAGCAGATAACGAGTCCAGTAACCTAAGACATCATGATATAATTCAATTATGTTTGGTCTATAGTGTTTTTAAAAGGCAGAAACTTTTACTGATCAGAATGCATTAAGATAGATCTCAGCACAGAAGGGATGAAGCCAAACAAATAGAATACTTAATTTTTCAAATTAATTCTAACCTTGAGAATTCTAAGTGCCTGGGTTTTATTTGACTTTTGGAAATATGGGCAGTAGAGAAGAGTAAAGCACTTAAACTAGTGATTATTCCCAAAATTTTAATTATTTTCCTGTACAAAATTCCAATAATAAGAGGACTTACTGTGAGGCCCAAGAATTTTCTTGAATAAAAATGTTTGTTGTTGTCTTGAAATATGTTTTATATTATAGGTAATCTAAAAATACCCTAAAATCCAAGTTATTTTATACATGGCTTAGTTACCAAGGGTTGTTAATTCATGTGGCTTCTGATCAAAGGCACAGCCATCTGAATGCTGACAGCAGCACTGAGCAATGGTGAGATAACGTGTGTATTTCCACAAGTATACAGATAGGACAGATAGATGCAGAGGCACAGAGAACCTAGACAGGACATCTTGATAGGGAGGGTGTTTGTATGAGTAATCGTTTAACTCTAATTTTTATATAGTCACTTATTCAGAATTAGACTTGTCTCTTTAAAATCAGACTCATTCACCTTCACATCTTATAGTCCCACTTTGGGTGCTTTTAAAGTTAAGTCTGTTCAATGGTAACTTCTTGGCAGTGCAGCTGGGGGTTTGTTAGAAGTGGGTGCCAGACGATGTCAGTGACCACAGAGACCTGGCTGGTGGCTGACATCTGGACTTCCACAACAGTCCTGGCATAGGTTTCTTTTCTTGTGTGGATAAATGGTGCTTTTCTTTTCTTTGTCCTTTCCTCCAAATGATGCATGTCCATGAACCTCCCCGAGCTACATCAGTATTTGTGTGGGATTATATATAATTATTTTGCTATTCTAACAGTAGAGCTGGTTGTCATTTTGAGTTGTTTCCTCTCCCTTTATTTTCCCTATGAAGTCACAAGGTTGTATTCAGCCTTCTCCTAACAACACTTGTAGCAATTTATGGTTGTGCTATGGTGTGGCATAGCTAAAGGGTTATGACATGTTCTACAGGCAATATTTCCTTGTATATAACTTCTAGAGGACACAGTGAAGTAGTAAGAAACATGAGTGAAGATGGTGCCCACGTAGCAAGGGCAGCAGATGCCCTCTTGTGCAACAGAAGTTTCTGGAGCCGTGATGCCCACTATGGCTTCATTGCTTTGCTATACTTGGACATTTGGAGATCCCGGGGAGCTAGCTAATGTGAGTTAGGGCTACAACTGTTTACTATATTAGCACCTAAAGCTACTCACTGTGTTAGAAAATTTTTAAAAGTCATTATTTTGATAAAAATAAGTGTGCATATTACATGTTAATGTATTTTAAGAGAAAATAACAGAACTTTTTCCAAATCAGAAATTATTTAGTGAGACTGGAGACATTGTTATCTGTCTGGTTTAAAAGAAGACACCTAGATTCTCATATCTGTTTCTTCATTCATCCTTTTGCAGTGCACAATTTTGGTTGCAGAATTTGAAAGAAATCTGGCCTTATATAGCTAGGTATTTAAAGTAAGAGAGTATTGTAGTTTTTTTCAAATAAATTTGCATGTTTTTTTGTTACTACATTAAAAATTAAAAGGCGGTAGTTTTTTAAAGACTTGTTGTATGCAACCTGAAATTATCTCAATAAACTTTTCGGTTCTGTTACATTCTAGAGAATTGGTCTGTTGCACTTTGAATGATCTTTTACCCTGGAGCGATTTTGTAACATGATGCTCAAGTACTTTGGAATATATCCTGTCACTGATGTCACATTTGTTAATATCATCACTGATCTCATTAGACAGTCTGAGTATTTAGAAGGCTTCAAGCACAGGACAGCAGATACAAGTTTTCCAAAATTCTGAAATTTGCTTTACCTGTTTTAATTTTCATACTTTGTAACAAATGCAATGGTATCTTTCATTATTTTTTTGAATTATAAGCTTACATCTTTTATTTATTTTTTTCCTTATTGACATTATTGGTATATTTTAGGTATACAGTACAGTTACATTCATGATTGGGATCTTGTACTTTTACATGACAGGTCTTGGTTCTCATTTCTCACCTTTGGCCCTCCCCTCCTTTCATCCCCTCCTCCTTTCCCTATTTACAAATACTTTATTTCCATTTTTTCATTTTGTCTGTCATATTTTTTTCTTTTCCCTTATTTCCTTTCCACTGCCCTTCCCACTTCGCTTACTCCTTTAGCCTTTTTCTTCCTATTTCACATTGTCAATTATAACATTACAATCTTATGTACCGTTATAGTTTTTCACACCAGAAAAACTATTCAATATTTATACATATGTGACTTATTTATTTCATTTAGGAGTATATCCTCAATATGTATCCATTTTCCTATGAATGACTCTAATTTCTCACTCTTTATGAGAGGAAATTTATGTCTGAGTAGTATTCCATTTTAGAGAAAAACCACATCTTCTTTGTCCAGTCTCCAACTGATGGGCAATGGGCTGTTTCCAAGTTTTAGCTATTACAAACTGTGCTGCTATAAACATATGTGTGCATATATCACTGTGATATGATTCTTTTAATTCTTTTGGAAAGATATCCAGCAGAGGAATGGCTGGGTCAAATGGAACCTCTAATTCTAGCTCTTTGAGATATCTCCATATTGATTTCCATAGTGGTTGCACCAGTCTGCACTCCCACCAACAATGGAGAAGGGTTCCTTTCTCCCCACAACTCCACCAACATTTGTTATTTGTTGATTTCTTGATAGCAGCCATTCTTTGTGGGGTGAGGTGGAATCTCAGTGTTGTTTTCATCTGCATCTCTCGAATGACCAGTGATGTGGAGCACTTTTTCATATATTTAGTTGCTGCTTTTATTTCGTTGTCTGAGAAATGTCTTTTCATTTCAGATGCCCAGTTTTGAATCGGGTCTTTATATTTTGGCGGCTGATTGTTTTGAGTTCTTTATATATTCTAGATAAGAGCCCTTTGTCTGAGGAGCAGCTGGGAAAATTTTTTTCCCCACATTGTAGATTGTCTTTTAGTTCTGTTGATGGTTTATTGTGCAGTGAAGAAGCTTCTTAGTAAGATGAGATCCCAGTTGTTGATTCTTTCTACTAATTCCCATGCTATTGAGGATTTGTTCATAAAGTTTTTTCCTATGTCAATGTCTTCAAGAGTTCTGCCTAACTTATCTTCAAACAAATTTAGTGACTCTTTTTTAATATTTATATCTTTAATCCACTTGGATTTTAGTGTAGTGCATGGTGAAAGATAAGGGTCTAGTTTTAATCTCTGGCAGGATGAAATCCAGTTTTTCCAACACCATTTATTAAAGAGACTATCTTGCCTCCAGTGAGGATGTTCAGCTCCTTTCTCAAAGATGAGGTAGCTGAGTACATCTGGA